AACAATTGGAAGAGAAACTACACAAAAATAATTACAAACAAATAGGTTCATAGTTATAAAATACCACAGCTTTTATATAGTAGAGATGCCACCCTCACTAACGTCCCAAACCACATTAAATTCCATTCAAAAATTCATTTAAACACTAAACCAATGAAATTTTAATTTTTGGTTGGCGGATTTTCAACGAAAACGTTGAGTTGAAGCCATCGAAACACTAAATTTCTGTAAAGTGACAAAATCATACCATAGTATAGCAATCAATAAATCATACAAATTAGGACATACAACATATCCCAACACAATCTTAATTACCAATTTTCATGAGGTAGTTTTTTGTTATATTGTTATTGCTAATGTTTGTTTGTTTTTTTCCCGACACTACCGGGTACCCGGTGTCATTATCCGATATCCGGATCGACCGGGTACCAGATCGAAAGCGGGTACCCAACCCATCTCTGATGTAATGTACATCGGTATTTAGGTATCTTTGCATGTATATGTATGAATATATATGAACGTGGACAACTATTTCGAGAGAGTAAAAAATCAATGAAAAAATAGACATCATGAGCTCCGTCATGCCAGTTAATGATCACGATCATAGTAGTCAGCCGTGCCGTCGATCAAGAGAGCTGTGGGGTCATAATCTTGTTTGGGCGATCGGCCAAATCACAGAAAGGGAAGGGAATCTTTGGCGGCATCCCCTGCCGCGATCATTACGCATATGAGGATGTCAAGACGCCGTGGGACACCATCTAACCCACTTATCTCTAATGAAAATAGACGACACCATTCGCAAAACGGCACAAGACAACGAATATCTANATCGATGACTTTTTGCTTCGATTAGTAAATTAATGGGGTTGATTGATTGGCTATACTCAGAGCGACAGGCTGGGCTGGACAAGCCACTTGAAGACAGCTCTTATAGAAGACATGAAACTCCACTTTTGAGCACAGTCTAATCGACAGATTTATTAATATGAATTTGACATGAGAAAAAATAACAAAAATTTGTTACTTGTTCAGTAATAATTTATTTGGTTGATGACAGAATTATGAATTTCTTTTTCTGATGTATGCATTATGAGAATTATTGTAAAATTGACTAGGTTGTATTTAGTTGTTAATCCATTAATTGTTACCTAACTTTAGATTTTTAAAAATTTTTGTTGTCGGTGTAGACAGGGATCCACAAATGTTTTATTTTAAAATTATTTTCATAATATTCAGGGTGTCCAAAAAACACAAAACGTACCAAAGTTGTGTTTTTTAAATGGAAAACCGTGTACATTTCATTAAGGTTTACTTCACGTAAGCGTTAAGAATTGTGAAATATTTTGAATTTTGTAAAAATGTTATAACAATTTTAACTTTCAAATTCTCAACATATAATCCTGAATGACAGACAACTACAAGACGGTTGGCAATCCTATCTGAGCCATTTAAATTTTTTTAATTTAAAAATTTTAACGGCAATTGTTAGTAAAATAACGTAAATATATGTATTAAGTTTTTTCGGTGTAAACGATTATGACGGCATTCTAAGGCCCCTATCAAAATTAGTTGGATTTATTGAAAATACTTATTGAGTTATTAGCGTAATTTTTGTGAAAGATTCTTTTTAACAAAAAATGAGGTTACCGTACTTTTCAATTATTTTTGTGTTTTATAACGGAATTGCATCATTTCCGTATACAGTGCTTTTCACCATAGTGTAACTTACGTCAACATTACACATACTGGGCACTTCCAGGGAAATTACAAGGTGAATATTTACAAAAACGGATCCTTCAAAACACGCATTATCTTCTTAGTTAGACTAAATTCCTCTTTATAATTTAAAAGCTGTTTTTGTTTTTCAATATTTCATGACAAGAAACTGCATCTTTATTATAATTTTTTCATTACAATAGCTTTAATTTGA